GTATTTAACTGTCGTTTGTACGTTTTCTATTAATGAACTGTTATCAACCAAATGGTATTTTCAGTCTCTCAGTGTTAATATTAATGACAATATTTATGATATTATTTAAATATACGTATGATACTTTTGATTTCGTTTTATAAAAATCACAGATAAGTAAAAAAATATAACAAATTCCTTTTGAAATTTACCTATAATAGCGAAACACATTCAATTTTATTCCACCTGAGAATATCGATCGTTCTATGAAAAAATAACTGGAAAACGAGCACCAACTAATTAATACAGTTGCTCCAATAAGATAACACTTAAATTATCAACTTCCACGAAACGTTTAACTTTGTATTGCTTATTTCCTCCACGATAACATCTCAGAGCTTATTATCTTCGATACACTTTAGCCTACCGTTGAAGTCATCTAAATTAATTTTCCCGGCATCATCTTAAGATATAAATACAAATTTATAATAGACTATCTCAGAAATTTCAAGTGCTTCGATCCTTTTAGACTGAAGTGGTCTCTATTCAAATGCAAACGAAAAGGTTCATGATATTAATTTACATTGCTCTTTGTAGCCAACGTAACCTTTGATAAATTTTCTACTCGCCTTTGAAATATATCTGTTAGAATTCTTATCTCGCCTTAGTTAGCTCTTATGGTCTATTCAGCTTTTGTTTTAAGATTTCGATTATGTTTCTTGTAATCTTATACATTCGTTATCCAAATCTTCATGTACTCCTTTAGTGTCGTTTTTGGGTAATTCAATCTTGATTATTTAGCTGTTTGCTAGTTTTTGGTTAAGTATTTAATATCTGTTAGTGGTTTTATGGTAAATCTGTTTAAATCTAACTGTGTGGAATATTCTAATTCAGGTACATTAAGCCTTGGAATTTAGTTAGGGCTTGGTCTTATAATTTTCAATGGAGATTTATTTTAGAGATGTAATTAAATAAAGCTAGCAAGCAAACAGATTAGTTTTTTGGTGAGATTAAGGACCGAACTAATTTATTTAGTAGAAAATAATACCAAGTTTTATTAATTTATTGTCTTATTTATTTTTTATGTTTATTTCTATCAGCAACTCATTTTTTATCTACAGTAGTGAATTTCAGAACTAGAATTTTTTGAAACTTGTATTTGAAATGCTGAGTTTATGTACTATATAAATAATTGTTACAATTTTGTAATTCTATCAACTAGCTCTTAAGATTTTGATTCCTGTTTAAACAGTTATGAGTGAACCTAAGCGATAAAAAAACTGTAATAAGATGCGACTATGCGTCAGGATTCTGTTGTAATATCGTGTTTAACAGAAATGTTTCGTTGGTAACAAATCTGGTATCTCAATAATAAGCTCAGCGCTTCAAGTTGGATTCAAATTAAAATAAATTAAACCGCTAACAATTCTTAAAACATTGTGTTCAGTTGTTATCTCTGAAGCCTTCAGGCGCTTTCGTTTTGTTTATGCTTATGTTAATTGCGTTTCACGTGTTTTTCAGTTCACATGAATTTCGTTTTACGTTAATTTTATCTCCATAGTAACTGTTTTGGTTATAACTTAGGTCGCACATGTTTAATGAAAATTGGATTCTAGGATTTAATAAATTAGTTTTATTATAAAAGATATTATTCAAGCTATGTATAATCTCATAAAGATTATTTTAAAATGTATCCTCAAATTACCTAGGCTTTCATATTATCTCCAGTTTGAGGTATTCTTATAAAATAATACATATATTTTAATATGACGGTGGCCTAAACAAATTTTGACGTATGTTTTACAATGCTTACGTTCCGACACCATAATATCAACCACAGGCAGTTTTACAAGACTTTCTAGATCGATTTTGGAAGTTTTCTTCATCCAGCTTATCTTTGTAAACATTTCAGGTGGTATGTTCATACTAATGATAACATATTTTGTAAGCAGCAATTTTATCAAGATCTTGAGCCACAAAAGTGAAAACACGCAAGGTATTGCGGCTCGACTCAGGGCAGGAGAAGGAACGGGATGGTTTTTACTCATTAAGAGTATAACAACAACAATAAAATGACTACCGCTTGAAATAACCACAGTATTGTGTTCCGCCGTGTGAGTTAGGTTACCGGAGGCCCCCCAATCCTTTCCCTGCCCCAATTCTCCTCCCCAACCCATTATTCTCGAAATCCCCAAAAGATCAGCAACGCACTCGTAACTACTGTATTGTTGGGTTTCTATGGGCGGTGCTGATTGCTTACCATCATATAATCCGTCTGCTCGTTAGCCGACCTATTATATAAAAAAACGCTAATATGATTTTACCCATTAAAAAGAAAGCTACAAATGCATAATGACATCTTCAGCAAACAAAACTAAATTAAAAGCCAACAAAATGAGAAGGAAGTTTGCAAATTCGTAGCCGGGGACCGATGGATCACAATTTAATACAACAGGGGGGCTCGGAGACAATGCCTCGTCCCGTCTTAAGATAGTTTCTTGAGGAACTCGGACCAAAGTTTGCAAAGTTAAATAGTGCAAAGTTGTACGATTTAGCCCCAAGTCCGTTGGACTATTGTAGGTACTTTTGTTGATAAAAACAAACTTACTGCAGTTACTTTCATGTAAATTGTGGTCCTTTTTCTCGAAACTTTTCTGATGATGGAATTAATTTGAACCTCGGAGTCGTTCGGACGGTTGAGCGTTGTTGGTTTAGAAAAAAAAAGTGTGGCGTATCGTATTTTTTTTATTGTGGATTTTGTGGTTTCCCTTTTTCAATATTTTCCTCGTTCTTTGTTTGTTGGTAGCAATTATTGTTTTATTAGATTTTTGGTTTCATTTCGTTTAAATATCGGTTTTGTAAAATTAATACAAAGATTAAATTGAAATATTATAATTTCTTAAGCTTTAAGCTGTTTGAATGAGATTGTATGAGCACTATCAGTCTGTAAGTGCCTACAGCTAACTGTTTCTTCTCACACGGAGTAGAATGGAATATATTTTATGCACAAGACAGATTGGCGATAAAAACGTTTCCACGGGACACTAGATTTCTCTACAAAACTCATATTTAATTACAGATTTATTGTAATCAAATATGACAAAAACATAAGCTTGTAGGGACGTAGATAATACTTTGCTTTGCCTTTAAATCAAACTCCGTGCACGGCATGCGCTTTAGCAACAACTGACGAACGAAACAGTCAACAATAAAAAAATAAAGGTTTGGGATATTTAGGAATTGGGAAGGGACGAAGGGAAAGGGAGGCATCGGGCCTCCGGTAAACTCACTCACACACATCATACCTTTTAATATCTGCTTCGATATCTTTTAATCATCATGAAATTAACTAATCAGAAACTATATTTTTGATGGTATAAGACAGCAAACAAGTCGACGAATCATTTGATATGAGCAATCACCGCCGCCCATTGTCACTAACCTTTTTGGGGTTTGTTAGGTAAATTGAGGATGGGGAGAATAAAAGAATAGAGTCTAACTCACATGACAAACAACCACGCAATCGTTGTTTTCTCGCTGATATCAATCTATGATTGGTAGGAAAAAAAGAAAAATATTTATTACATGCGTCTAAACAAGAGACAAGAACATGAACACATTCTGTACATGGTCACAATGTTGTGGTTACATGTCCCAAGTCCGTGATGAAATGAGCTGCAGTCCAGCATGCTCAAGACAGAGCCTTGGCTCTAATACACTGGATTACCTAAGCATTTCGAAATTACAACTTTTATCTATTATAAAAGTTTTATTAGTTATCTTATGAATAATAACGGGGCTAAAGTTGAAACTAGTTGCTACATTTTACTTGACAACACTTTTTTATTTAAAGATAATGAAATTGTTTGCAGAACTTTTATGATTAACGACGGCTTGGAGCTAATTTGAATGTTAATCATTGTAATAGTTGTAGTTTGTGAACTGCTTTTAGTATAATTTATCATTTTGTCTTGTAAATCGTTCAGTAATATAAAGATTTTAATATTGTGATTGTTACTAATTTTAACGAAATTTGACTAGATCAGGATAGTGTTTAGTATTAGCAATATTTCAGTTGTAATCAGCTTTATGCTAGATCTTAAGTTTAATTTTTTTTTTCAGTATAAAGTTAAATTCAGTTGTTCTTACTTTGCAACACACAATGTTGAATGACTATGTAGATAACAGAGCACTTGTAATGAGGCCTGTTTTTTGACAGTGAGATATCATCCCATTTCTTGTTCCGCCCTATTTGGGGTAAGAGGGAGTGTCAAACTCTTACTGAATGAACACCACTCCGTTCCATCTCCTGCTCCAGACCGCTTGCCCTAAAATCCAGGATAAGCATTGACTCGGAAAGTTAGCTAAAAAAAAATATTTTAATTGTACCATTATACACAAGTAAAAGACCAAAGAGATCAGCTATAAATATCTACGAAAACCCATCCAAAATGTCATTCGATAGCCTACAGCCATACGTGACTTTACAACAGCCATGAAACAAAATTGCCATCCGCCATTTTAATCTCCTCAACAATTTTATAACTTCCCAATATTTTACCGATATCCGAATTCGATACGGAGGGCTATAACTTCACGGCTTTTGTTGAACTTAAGGGGTAGGTAAACGAGCATATAAATATAGTATAAGTGTTACCAATTATGTTAAAACTGTAATGAAAAAGGACGTAAGTATGTCTGACCAAAGTAAAGTATCGCCATTCAAAAAAAAAGGCCATATGACACGATCACTTCTATTACAAAAGATCGTTTCAGTGATTGATAATCAGCTGCTGATGATGAAACAGATGACACATTACAACTGAGAATAAAAAACGGATAACCGGACCATTTAATACTTAAGAAAACAAAATAAAGACAGCAGATACGTTTTCCGACACCCCAACCAAGCCACTCAAAATTGCCATCCGTATTTTAAACCCCTCAACAATTTTATAACCCTCAATATTTTTCCGATATCCGTATTCGAAACAGAGTGATATATTAAAACTGTTTGACAGGTGAACCGGCGATTCGATCGCGATACGCACGACTCACTGTGTTGGTGCCCCCAGAGCCGCCGCGCATCGTCGAAGGCAATTTCTTTTCAACGATAGAGGATAGAAATATCAAATTGGAGTGTGTGTCCGTTGGTGGAAAACCGCCAGCTGAGGTAAGAATTGATTTCTGTGTTTTATATTGCTGTTATGTGTTTTGGTAAGGATTTTAAAAAGCGTAGTTGTCGCAGTACTCGGTTTTGTAGACGTGTCCAAGTCTGTGGACAAAAAGTATTCTTTTGTACAGTAATATAGTTTAAAATGACGTGTTATATTCTCATCAAGATCCTAAAAAGTAATCGTCAACTGATTTTACGGATTCAATATATGAGAATAATTTTGAAGTGAACAATAAACATTTGGTGAAAGAAAAAACTGACCATTTCAAAAGTCAGTTTTTCATAATCATTGTATATTTTATAACATGTTTTTTCATGAACACAATTTCGTATCTTCCATTTAAAAGTAATATTCACTCTTTTGGTAGATACTGAATTGATTACGTTAAAAATATTTTGTTTCATAAATAAAATAGGTACGTATGTATATTTGCAAACCGACGCCAATTGAAATACAGATCAAAATTTAAAATATTGTAGAATTTTTTTTTTAAATAAAACAATACTTTTTTTTCTTCAATTGTATTGGTGTTGAATACTTTATGATTGGTTGTTAACTGGAGACTACTGGTGGTTTATTGAATCAAAAATTAAGGGTTTAGACGAATTTTATTAATTGTCAAGTTTATTAATAACTTTGTTTCCTATTTCAATAAGAACAAAATTGAAAATTAAAGTTGGTATCAGCACTTCTGCTTAATCTTAAACCAGTAATATACGATGTGATGTGAAAATTTTAGATACAATTTTCACATTACAAGTAACAGAAAAAGAAACGAATAAATGTCACTACTAAATAAATGTTTCCACGGTGATATTTTTTTCAGTTGTCACAAAACTTAGCAAAACTTTTTCAGGGTCAGATAATATTAATTAATCAATGTCACCACTTAAATGGAATTTTACAGGCTCCCCAATGTAATACTCTCCGACCTTTTCATAAATTCCACGCTTTTCTTAATATTCCACGTAGGTACTTTCAGTTGGTACGATTTTTTCTATTGAAAACCTTTTAAAGTATATTGTGTTCGAATCTTTGCAAACTAAAATGTACCTCATTTATGGTTTTTATTGCTTTTGATACAGGTTCGAAGTCATTAATCTATTTAATGATATTTTCTAGACTTCTAAAGAAGTTAAAGTTTGTGCTAAAAGCGCTGATGCTTGTGAAAAAATTTCGGCCAATTTAGTTTGTAAACTTGTTTGTTTGTCCCGAAAATTATGTTCATAAATCACATTACACTAATGATATCGTTGCTTATTTTTAATGGAAAATATTTCAAAGAATTAGGTTTCTAATGTTTTCCAAGGATTTATGACGAAGAATGGGATCTGGCCTATTTACCTGATAGAAGTTTATTCTAAGATCACCTGTTTTTGCTCACACAATTTACATTTTAATAATACTAAGTTTTACTCAACCTAAAGTTATCAGAAACAATGGTTTTTAGTAGAATACTAATTTGACACAGACCTCCTCTTGGTACCCCACAGATAAAACACCCACAACAAGCTAAAATAAAATTACAAAGATGTACCCCTAAAAGTATGCAATCAGCACTATCTATGGACACCCACAACTCTAGTTAGAAGTTATGTTACAATAGCTTTTGTCAAATCCAAAAAATGATAGACTTAAATTATCAACAAAAATTTTCCTGAAACACAAAGTACACCAGAGAAAAGTTTTTACTCCCAATTTAAAAAGAACGTAGAAAATTCTGACCTATTTACACACAGCGTGGAATTCAGAAAGCAGGTGCAACTGCAGGGGAAGTACTAAAGTATGAAGTATTATCGGAAACGGTACGAGTAGGTACATGAAAAATTGTGCACAATTTGTGAAGAATACGCACGGTTTGTTAGGATGTAGCTCAAAGTGCATACGAGCTTTTGAGTAGACTGTACAGATATTTGAACGTCAATCTTGCTATATTCTGTTAGATGTGTTTAGTTTTACGAATAGTAGGTATTATAAAAGGAGTGCTATATGAATTTGGATGAAGTTTTTGTGGCAAATACGAATGAACAATTCATATAAAAGGGCTGTTTTATTATTTAGGATGAAGGTTTTGAGACTATTACGAATGAAAATCCATGTTTCGACACGAGTACTTTAATTCAACCAGTATGATACTAAGATCCCTCGGAAAACCAGCGTACAATTGCGCTTGTGTTGTGTTACGTTCAATTAGTGACTTTAAAGAATTTTCTCTTGCTGCTAACAGATATTGGTTACACGATTTCTCAAAACATGAATCATTCTTTAAAATCATCATCATCATCAGCGTATAAGTGCCCACTGCTGAGCAAATCTTTCTTCTCATATGGAGAAGATTAGCGCATTAATCACCGTTCTTGCTCAAGTCGGATTGAAAATTTCAAACTTATAATTACAAATTATTTGTCCAAGTTTCTTTACGATATTTTCCTTCACCGCACGTCAGCTGTGTCTAAACAATCATGAAAATACTTATGGTTTTGAAAAAGTTACATCGATACTTGCAAGTTTTCCTGTTTCAGTTTTCTCATGCATTATATGCCTTAACTTACCTTTTTACAATGAAAATCAAATAATTTACAATCCAAATCCTTCAAACCTTGAAAATTTGCATGTATTCCAACCATAATTTCAATAGAGTTATCACAGTCAGAATTAATTTTAACACAAATGTGTACGGCTGTGTCGTTGCGAATGTGAACAGTGCATTGCAAATTGAGGCTTGGATTACATAAGCGGTGTTAGTTTCGAAAATTAATAGCTGAGTCTGTGTTGTTATTAAATGAAAATCAGCTTGAACGCACAAATTGTTCGTGAATTAATACTTTAATTGCATTGACAAATTTGTCATTTTGTATTTATCGGCATTGTTGTTTGGGTATTTCAAATGGTTCAGTTTTACGGGAGATATTTATTGTCCAGGTGTATTCTTTTGATTATATTCATAGGTCTACCTGACTTAGAAAAATATTTTGGTTGTTTAATGATGCCATCAAGCCGATACGACCTCATCAACCACTAAGACTTGGTTGTAAATGCAAATACCTAGCAAGATGCCGCGAGTTCAATACATAGTTCATGTAGAGTGGTATAAGGTTTTCTTCAAAACTATAAATAGGAACAAATACTTTGAAATAGGTCCCATCAGTTAGCGAAAGCACGATCCCTTATTACAAAAGACCCTTAGCATAAATGATTAAAGGTCAGTGCTTCATGTCTTGTGCTTTTGATACCGTTAGAAATAAAAAGAAAATAGTGACCAATATCTTTAATTGACTTAACAGAAAAATATTGTAAGCATTAATCATTATATCAATTTCAAGCTTCTATATCAATTTGTTTGTCCCTTATTTGCTGGAGAATATTCCAATGAAGCTCATCGTCCGAAGTGAATAGATAACCGTCCCGAGAGAACCCGTACAATTAGGAGTTAAATTGAAAATCATGTTTGAGTCTGTCGACAAATTGAGGTTGTATTTGAACAAAATATTTTATTTTATGATAAATGCATAGTCGTAATCTTGTTTTAGGTACTTACGACGTGAATTTGCCAGATATGTTTTCTTGAATCAATTATATTGTTTTGTATTTCATTCCAAAAGATAAGAAATTGTTTCCACATAATTTAACAGTCATACGTTCCTCTCGCAGTACCTACCTCATTCATTCCAATAAAATTTCCTTACATCCATCTGCAAACAAATCAATAATTGGATTATAATAACTAGTATCAGCTTCATTCTAAAGTACAAACCTTATAACTATGGAAGAGATTTTGAAATTCCAAGTCAAACAAAGAATAGGGCACTTCTTTTTTTTTTTGATAAAGATAATAAATTTTGTGAAATTCTTTCTGTATAGTAGAGAAAACAAATGTCTTATGATACCACTACCAGCACAGAGAAACAAAAGCCATGATTTTAAATTATAGTACGTTTTAAAGGAATAGAATTGGATAAAGTAATATTAGATATTACAGATTTTCTGATGAGGTGCGGAACTGTAATGCGGAAATTATTTGCCAAGAGATTTTAATCATCTTGCATAATTGATGTGAGTTTGTGAATTTCGAATTGGGTTCCTCTCTCCTTTTGTATCCGCGTTTCTTAATTAAAATTATGATTTAGACGGATTATAATATTTTATTTTAGCTTTTCTTTATTAGAAATGTTTCTTTAATCATTCGGTAGGGAACAATCTTAGGTTTTTTAATGTATTATTGAATTCTGTTTAATGAATGTGTCCTTGTTATCATTCAGAAAGGCGGTTAAGCAGAGGTTTGCTAAAAGTACGACTGAATTTTTATCATTTCTATCCTCATATATCTCGTTGTTCTAAATGTTATACTTACAGCATACAATGATGAGAAAATTGAAGATGTTCCCGATCTGACGTCAAATCTCAAGACAAATATGTACTTAAAACTACTTAAATAATAAAGTAGTATTAGATGCATACAATTTTGGACGAATTACAAGAGAGGTCGAGTATATTCTCCAGAAAACAGAAACGTTGAGGGTTGATGATAATGATGATGATGATGATGATAATGACGATAATGATAGAACAGATACAAATAAAACTTACAAAACTAATACTGAAATCATTTCACATATCAGATATAACATAAACCCAACTCTTTCTTTTAAAAACTCGCATAAAAATGGAAGAACTTCAAGCAAAATTGAGCGCACATTTCCTTACAAAGTTATACACGGTTCTATAAACCCATATTTTTCTTTTGTAATTCCAATGCACGAGACATTCTCAAAAGAGTATTTTGCATTTAAATAGTTCTCATCCTGATAGCCTTGTTCTTATATTTTCATACTTTGTTTCAGATTACGTGGGTGGATAGTAATGCTGGTGTTTTGACGCAAGGCGTCACCTACAGTGTTGAGCCCATGCCTGATGGGCAAAGGTTTACAGCCAGGTGAGTTATGTCTATATTTCTTTCCATGATTCAATTTTCGATCTTATAAAACGTTTGGATACAACAAAATTTACTGTTTTTTTAATCCATTTAACTTACTTCGCAAATTCCTAAAAAATCTTACTGAAAACGTTTTCTGATAAAATGTTTTATTTTTTGTTTCTTTACCAGGTCAATTATAAAGATGACTCCGAAACAGGAGCATCACAACCAAACATTTACGTGTCAAGCTCAGAACACCGCTGACAGAGCCTACCGAGCTGCCAGCATACAAATAGAGGTGAGTACTCAAAAGAAAGAATCTTGTAAAAAAAGAACTTAGGTCATAAAACGGTAAAAGAAGAAGTTTTATTCAAATAAACTGTACAAGCAAAACCCTTGTAGTAGGCCTAAAATAAACGCTACAATTTCTAGACACTAGACACAGAAGTTAGTCACGACCGACAAAATACAAAACAAACAAACAAAACAAAAATACAGTAGGTAGTCCCGAAAAAATATTGACAAAACGGACTGGACACCGGCTCGGATGGGCGATACGTGTCGTCGTTTGCAACATGAAGAGATTTAGCACTGGCAAAGGCTTGCGCAGTAAATATGACCACACTCGCAGAATACCAAATGACGTTAAAAGTATGAAAATTGTTTCTAGAAACGATGTCGTATTTTTACGGCTTATATATTTATGACAGTAGAATTAGGTCCACGATGTCTGTTGAATATCATTTGCATTGTTTTTGGGACTGAATGAACGTTGCTCTTAATTAATTAAAAGGGTGTGCTAAAATAATTTTTGTTGCATTTAGATATAGTTATGTGTGGAATAATAACACTATTGCACGATTAGCGCGGTACCCGGGCAACCGGCATTGACGTGTCGTGGGTTCAATTTTCATACGGAAAATGTGTGATTCACAAATAGCTGTTTCGGGTGTGAGTGTAATTTGTATATCTGCAAACGGTCCCACTACAGAGGTGTCTTAGAAAATCCCAGTGACTTCATTAGTATGATTTATGATTATTTTTATTATAATAGTTGCAATCGGATATAAGCTACAGTCTTATTATGTATTAAAAAGAGGTACAACATTTCAGAAGTACAATGAATCGAAATGCGCGATAGAATTTTTACCCTTAACAACATACGAATTCCCATAAGAAAAAGCCATCCAACACGTTCAATATAGAATTCACCCTCTCCTAATTAGGAAAATACTTCGAACCAACATCAAACCCCTCAATGCTTCTCTCATCTCCTTATGCATTCAAGTCTTGTTCGACATTGCCAGAAAAACTCGTGTTTTTCTTTACAAACTGGTAAGAACTGTTCCGAGTGAAAAATGGATTTTGTTTCGACGCATCTTCTTATTGTTGTAAACATTTGTTTTGTGATTTTAGTTTTTCTTGCTGTTTCTTAGGTTTTATTTTTGATTGTTCATTGTCTGTTGTCTCATCTGAAATATTTTTTAGATGTTTATCTTTGATGGCATTCATTGTTAGTTTTGTAGTTTTTTGATGATGATTCTGTTTTTACAAAAGTTGCTTGAGACTTTTTAATGATTTTCCGATAGTGGTGAGTAGCTATAGGTATACATAATTTCTCCAAAGTTGATGTAATAAAAATATTTTTTACATTGCAGCTTTTGCTAATAATTTTAAGCACACACAACACTTTTTTATTTTTAAATATACTTTATTGACCACATTATTACATAGTGTGTTGTTATAGATTGTACAATGGGCTGGTTTTATCACACAGGGTGATTTTTTCCAGACATTCTTTATCATCTTGTTGTTAACGAATTTATTAATCTTAAAAACATTAACCAGCGAAGTCTTATCTTAATTATAATTGTGTTGTAAGTAAAGTAATGTTTAAAACGACCTCAGAATTTAAAATATTTGTAAGATTTAGTTTCAACAAAACATAATACTGATACAAAATAAACTTGTGTTCCATTTTCTTCGATTTTTCTTATACCTTACACCCATTAGAAGTATCAGTACACCATATGTTACCAATACTTACACACAATTCTACCGAAACCAAGAAATAAGATATCAATATTGAAAGTTTTACTTTCGAAAAGTAAATATCTTCTAAACTTTCCCTAGCTCAACGCAATGGCGTACCCCTCAGTTTTGCCTCATAAAATATGAAGATAAAATTCCAGCCGATGGTATTTGCTATCTTCAACCCCTAGTAAAGTTTTTTTAGGCTATGTTTTGTTTTTCCTTTTATAAAAGCATTGCCTATTTTTCATGAATTCTTCTATAGATAATGTTGGATCGATTTTTGAAGGAATTGTGAAAATGATTTGTGTAGTCGGTCAGCATGATGAGATTGGTTGATGCTTTCGTTTTTTCCTTTCTTTTTTGGTGTTTTTCTTACGATGTTACGGTTTTCTTTCAAATGCTTACTTGATTTAGAGTTGACTTCATTGTTTTTTATTTCAAACTTTACATTGGTAATTTTTTTACTATCAAACATTTATGTTACACCTCATTTTTAGATTAGAGAAAAAATATTGTTTTTTTTTTATAATAAATGTTATTTCAATAGAAATGAGCAATTATTTTTTCACAATTCACAGCGAATTGTTAATATAGAGTTAATAAGAATACTTTAGCTCGTAATTTAACTTTTAGAAAGAAAACATTTCAAAGATTAGGCGTATCTACCCACTATTACACTAAACTTTATAGACAGATTATATCTACTTTAACAACGGAATTTCCGAGTAACGAAATTCATGCCAAATTAAATAAAATTCTAAGAAATTCTAAGCTTCATATTTTTTATATATATTTTATAACAACGCAGGTTTTTGGTACATCTTATTTTATTTTGTAGTAAATTTTTTATTCAGGGAAGGGAACAATATCGTAAAAGCAGTTAACAATATTTCATACGAGATCCGTCATACTTCGTCACACAATAAGGATAATATTTAGGTAGATATTTCTACAAGCTATTATTCGTTCAATAATCCGAAAACATTTTTACGATAAACGCTTTTAATACATCAAAAAGACGAACGAAGAAGGTATATTATTATTTATTTCACTTTCTTCATTAAATGTTTATACCTTTTTTTAAGTGGGGGTAATCATCCAATGACTTCTCATGCCCTGGATGGAGCAAGATGAAGTGTCAGTCTCTTACTAACTAAATCCTCCCCGGTCCTTCCACTGCTCTGGACCGGAGACGTGGAAAATTATTGAGCTAACACAATGCACGCGTCACCCCAACTGGACAGCAACCCTGACTTATAAATCGAAAGTAAATTTTATGAGGATATGGAAAGTCTACCTCTTGGTCACCAGTAATAGTTCGTAGCTATAGGTAACATTGTAGATAAAAAGTATATCGTCACAAATATCATGGAACATCCATATTCACGACATTCGACTGTTGAAATTATCATTTTTGTTGAAAAAAGGAGTTTTACCAAAGAGGATTAAACAGATTAGGTGAATAATGAATAGAAAGAAAAAATAGGTTCTGAGAGAACACTGGAAGAAAGATATTATTGAGTGGAAGTTATTACTTAAATTTGAGTAATTTTGAATAAAAATAACCCTGTAAGTTTTTTACACCCAAAAGCTGCTATAGTAAAAGTACTTTTCTGTTTTACGGTCAAATCCTGACTTATACCTATTCCATAAAATCTTCTACCGTACAATGCGTATATTCTTGTCCATACTTACATAATACACTAAATACATTGATCAAAAGTAATGTATTTGCTGTACCTATGTAAAAATTATTGTCGTCCCCAAAGTCAGTAGGAAATTACTATTCCGGTCACACACACAAAGAAACTGGATGTGGCATTAATATTAATATTATTATGTTCCTTCCTTTAATACGTAGGCTTCGTTTATTGTTTCGTTCGGATATTGAAATCTGGAAGTGGTCTCGTTTTGATAATGTATAGGCAGACTAGAGTTCTGAAAAATATGTATTATATTACACCTTCTTTTGCTGAGAGAACTATTTATGACACACATATTTCGTTGGCTTTATTGTTAGACCCGTGTCAACAATTGTGTTTTTTTAAACAATCAAATATTACCACTTTTAATTTGAATTTTAACACTTTCATTTTTATGGAATTTTGACAGCTTTTTGCTAATTGTGCAGAACATTTTGGTCATTTTTTATCTTTTTAAAAGGAAGATATACCTAATAAAAGTAATTAATTTCAAACATCTGACGGTAGAATTAGTTTAAGTTAACGGATTGACCTTTTAAATTAAACTAGCTTTTGCCCACGATGCCTTCATTCGCATGGTATAGTCTTTCCTGCAGATTTTGGTTTTACCTACACAGTTTCAGATCTCGCGGGAATTTTGAGAAGTTCTTACTCTAGCGGGATTTTCGAGAAAAAACTATCCTATGTCCTGTCTAAGTTCCAAACTATGTTTGTACCAAATTTCACACAAATCGGTTGAGTAGTTTAGTCGTGAAGTAAAGACAGACAGACAGACAGAGAGACGGAGTTAATTTCGCATCTATAATATTAGTTTGCATTAAAATATCAATGTTTTAAACTGTTTAGCTTCACCAGTTGAGTAAATAAAAGCATTAAATTTGATTTAACATTCATAAACCAAGTAAATACACACAATATTACACAAACAATCGTAAAATCTTTATCAACCCGTCTCAATAAATAAATATACTTACCCGTTCTAAGCTCCAATCATTTCCATTCTTTCGGCATCCACGCCCTTGTTATGACGAGAAAGGTTGGTTGCCATGTTTATCATATATTTTTTCGTTGGTCATAAAATAAAACCCCTTTTTACGGGCAACCCAATTACTTTTTACGATCTGATGTTCCATGATATTACTATGATAGGAATATACTTGCCATTTGTAAGCGTAATGCCTATGTGACCGTTTTTTATTTTTAATGGTGGCAAATATAAATTTTGATGGCGTCTCCTATTTTTCGAGATTGAAACTTGTACGTCGTATTAACGATATCTTTACGAGTTCCGATAAATATTTGAGAAAGGATATTGTGGTTTTGTCATTTTATTCAGTGGATTGTATAAGGTTGTTTATGTTTGATATTAAAGTATGTTAATGGTTTATTTTTTTGGTGTTACAGAGAATTTTATCTACTTAATTCTTTATTGTTATGTTTGAGATAAATTTTACTTTATATGTATTTATTTCTATCGATTTCAATTTGTTTACACTTAAAAGTAAAATATTTTTACAGTAAGAAAAAAATATAATATTGTGACGGAAAAGTGGTTCAAACTCTTTGACATCATGACGTCAATGGATGGTTGTCAAACGTTGCCTAGAGATTGTAAATTTCGTCGTGAATTGTCAATACGAGTTGGTGTAATTGGTAAGGCGTGTGGATTACACCACAGAGACCCCGAGTTCGAGTCCCGCCGTAAACATGAAGTTTTTTAGTTGATGGAAGTTTTGTCGAACTTTCTGGAATTATTTGTGTGAAAGAAATGAAGAATTAAAGAGCGAGAAGGAGAATAAATAAAAATGAATTACGAAATTATTGGAAGGTTCTGGAGGCATGACGATCAAAAAGAATAACGAAATTGAATGTTCCAGAACTTGACCGGGGGTATATAAGCGGAACTGCGGCTCACCGCTGGCAGTTGAGTTCTAAGTCTAAAGCGATTCGGAAGAAAAGGAAGAAGTGAAAAAGAAGAAAAGTGAGTGAAATAGTGAAGTGCAGTGAAATAGTGAAGTGCAGTCAGTTAAGTGAGTTAAGTCAGCGTGAACGGCAAAGTTGTGTCAGTCGGCCGGACTCTGCTGGAGAGGAACGCCGATAACTTAACTCCGCGGACGCTGTAACTTAAGTGCAATAGAAAGTCTGAAAACCGGTATTAGTGTTTCATTTCATCCAATCCCGTAACCCAAGCCCGCATAGTCAGGAACGTGACGTCAGGCACGTAACAATATGAAAATAATTTTGTAAACGTTTTGGAATAATATTAGAAGAATTACAGATACTGTATAGGACTGGTTCAAAAAGCTATGTACAAATGTAAGCGTTTTCTGACACATTTACTAGTTATAACAACAATTATTACGTATTTATAAAACGACTCGCCACTACACAGATAAACCCTGATAGGTTTGCGTTCTGTTGCTACTTAATAGACTACTTTATGCTACTTTATAGAAAAACAACATGTGTGTCTCAGAAAAAAAATCTTTTTTCGTGTATAATTTAAGTGTCTTTATATCTCTGACCCTTAAAATATCGGTAACTTACTTATAACAGTTCTGGTGTTGTAGCTGTGCATAGTGTGCATGGACGGAGCCGACTGCTTACAATTAGGTCATATAAAATCACATCCATTGATAATTTGCCTAATATTCAAATCCGTCTGTCTTCTTTTGCTGACGTAGTTTCAAGTTTTGTACTGAAAGCCTAATTAATATAAAATATAAATGATTTGATTTTCTCCTGCATCGTGGGTGCGTTTAAAACATACACATAGTAGCCAGACCTGAACAACAATTTGTGGAACGCACACAGTATTGTGCGACACATTGCTCAGAACTGCCAAGCACTACACTCTTCGCCAACGGTGCAGTCAAGTCAAGAAGCCTTCTACTTCGATTATCTTTAGTCAGATCTCAGTCCTATTGTCAGATCCCTTTTTCCGATCACCTTTCCTGTAAATTAAAACACTAAATACAAATACCCTGTATAATATCGGGCAATTAAAAATACACGACCATTCTCTTTTGCATTATTATTTGTGTGTCTACAAAATAATTCTCTTTCAGTTCATTAATTACACAAGCAGGTACTGTTTTAGTACTTCTTAGGTGCAATGAATCATTTTTATTATCTCTAGTTTGTATTTAACTTGCAATGAGCTGGTCCTTGTTGCGCCATTTTGTTTTTCTTTCCTTTGTTTTTTCGTTGATATTGTTCTGCATTTAATTTTTTGTCGTTGTTTTTGTGAAAATCGAGTTTTAATTTTAATGTTTTAGGTTTTATTTTTCGATGTATTAAGTAAACTATCTTGTTTATTGAGTTTTTTTAGTTTAAGTTTGTTTTGAGAATGTTTTTTTTTCTGGTATGGGCAGACATTTGGCCGCTATTACGCCTGGTGGTATACGATAATGCGACCTACGATGAAGCATGCCTACCCATAACCAACCTTTTCAATTGGGCCTTGAAGATACCCAGGTTATCGAGGAATATAGATATCGGGGCTTTTCTTTTCATGGCTAAGATCATCTAAGACCAAGAAGACTAAGATTGGGGTGAAAAGGAGTGTGAGACTCTTAGTGACTAAAAACCATCCCTTTCTTTCTCTTGCTCCAAGCTTAGGCCGCACTGTCGGTCTAGGATTTGAATACCGAATTGAGCGAAGGAATTGAGATTTTTCTTTTCTTTCAACCTATTGTTTTCCCCTCCATTACCTTAATAGGACTCATAACATACCAGTGCTCGCTTTTTGTCTTATCTTATGTTATTAGAATAAGTTTTTGTTTATTACATCATAGGTCGGCAATTGAGCAGACGGATTACCTGGTGGTAAACAATCAGCATCGCCTATGGACACATGTAATACTAAAAGCGTTAGTACAAGAGCGTTGAGGATAGGGGTGGAGAAGGATTGGGCCTCCGGTAACCTCACTCACAGGGTGAAACATAACGTGAGTGTTGTTTCACCCTGAGTTTTTTTGAGGCCGTGGTATCACTCCAGTCGAGCCTATAGATTTGTGCCGAATGATGTGTCTCCGATATTTGAAGAATATTTAGACCTCATATCATATCAATGAATAGTACCCGAGCATACGGCGCGTAGCGTTTCGCGCGCGCCGCAATGAGCCAATAGACCACCACAGACGAGGCCCTATAGAGGTGATGTTTAGCCGGGGTTGCGGGGTAAGCGCAATGAGGCACCGCGACCTCAGCTCAGAGCAGGAGAAAGAACACGGGAGTTTTTAGTCAGTAAGAGTCTGACACTCCCTCCCGTCCGCGCGCCCCTGGGCGGGAGAAGTCATTTGATGATTTTCCCCTCACGAAAAAACATCAATGAATCGAGATAAGGTGCAATTAACTAAAGAAACAACGCTGTTCAAACAATAAATACACAAGACTAATGCTTGTTAAAACTTTTGTCTTTGTTTTATTTTAATTTTAATTTAATTCATTCGTAGTTTCTATTCGTAAATAATTGCTGTCATTATTAAATAATTGTTTTTTTCTTAATTGTTATAGATAAAGTAAATGAAACAGTTTGGTTTGTGAATAATGCGTCTCTTAATTCAATTTTGTTTGGGTGAATTAGAATTAAATCTGTTATTTAAAGTAATTAAACTTTAGTCTGCTTAAACATTAGTGTTAGATTTTCTTACAATACAGTTGTAAATGTATTTATATCTCTTGAATTTTCTTTACATCTATTTAGTGGAAAGTTTTGGTAAGGTCGCACAGAACGAGAACCTGAATTTAATTATGACTACAATAATAATTAGAAGCGTTTAAATCTCAGTGAACATTGCCAATGTTTAAAAGATAAAAGACTCTTCGTCTTGTTTTCTTTTGCTCTCTCTTTCTCTCTCTCTCACTCTCTCTCTCTACCTACTGATCTATCTCTCTCTGAGTCTTAAAGCTTACTTTAGAATAATTTAGCCCTTACCTTGTCTTTGATTGTTAGCTCTTATATAATATCGTACTGGTATCACTAGACAATACCAACAAAACTACGATATACTTATAATACAACAAACTAAGTTACAAGTGTATTTTTCAATAATATAAAAGGCATTATTCATTTATAACAAAACAAACGAAAATCGATTCTAATAAGCCACGAACCTTACCTACTTGAGTTTTATTAAAAAGAAATTAAAGACATGGCTTTCAAGTCCACTTTCCTTTTAAACCAATGATTGGAATACTACGCATCAGAAATGTAGGTACTTTTACAAAAATAATTGGAACCTTCGTAGTAATGGTCAATAGGTATTGACAGTTTTCAATGGCTTTTGGTTGAGAACACTATCACAAAATACAAAATAGTTTTAGCTTAACCCATGTAAAGAATTTTAGGCTGTAATTATAGAAGATTCTTAAGATCTTAGAGTATAAATATTAAAGTGCAGTTTTAAAAGAAAAATCCTTACTCTTTATTGGTAAAGTTGTGACAAGAACAAATGTCAATCATGAGATTGCAATTTCCAATTCAATCGAATGCTAGTCAACAGGCAACAGAAACACAATAATAGATTTGAATAAAAATACAGTAATAGATTCTGTTTAATTTTTTTTTTTTGTTAACAGGTCAAATACGCTCCCAAAGTGAAGATGTACATCAAATCTGGTGTCAATGGAAAGATTCCAGAAGGAGACGATGTAGTTATAGGTAAGTAATAAAAAATCTGTGATGAGTTAAAGAAAAATAAACCAAAAACAACCTTGTGCAAATAATTTGAAAAATAATACTAGAAAAATATTAATAAAGTCTGATCTCTCAACAGCAATTACAGCCACTAAAGCAGCGATGCTCATTTTCAATTCATTTAATTCAGATTAATCTAAATTGATTTCCATTATTAATTTATCGGTACTTATAAATAAATTCCCATTCAACAGCTTGCAAAGCCGATGCAAACCCATCCAATCTGACTTACAAGTGGTTTCTAAATGAAAAACTTGTAGATGGAAATACTACTGAGTTGGTGAGTACATTTTTATTTATATTTAAGTTTTATAAATGTTCTAGCTTTCTGCTCGTGACTTCATCCGCAAACCCGAATGAATTATAGATCTGAACTTTCGTTTTGAATGATTCTATCTATGATTTAATAATACTTGCAACAAAATAAGTAGGTTGTTAGATAACAAAATGAAATGAAAATAACTAAGAGATGAACACAATTTCTGAGATATCTATTAAAGTCAATTAAGAACATAGTACTTTAAAATCAAATAACCTAAACAAATTCTCAGCCAATATCATTCAGAGCAACATCTTCCACAAAACACTTTCTAAGCAACAACAAATTTATTATGATACATATAAAAATTAACACATCAAAATTTTCTCCTAACAGAAAATCTACAACATCACAAGAAAATACCACGACGCAACTGTAAAATGCGTAGTCTACAACGATGTTGGTAACAGCGAAGAAATAGAAACACTTGAAATAACTTGTAAGTTCAAACTGAATTATATATTCCTTTCAAATTGTATTAGTAGTTGTAGAATATTGAACTCTGCCTTTGCTTCAACTGTTTCATTATTACTTATTGACATGTTCCTAATATAGCCATTCTGTTTGTTACTCTCCGAAGGCGCACCTATACTAAATTTACTATAAACGATCAAAAAAATTTGGCTCTTTTTCCATTCAACTTCAACGGCATAAAAACTCTTATCTTTATCAGGTCGGGCAAAATTTCAGATTCTATTATTGGGAATTTCAAAATCATTTAACCTTATTACGCTCATACTCGTCTTGGAGATATTATAGCCAGATCATTGAGGCTGTAAAATAAACTACATCAGTTTTTAAAAAACAGCAGCCATAGCTGTGGAAAATTTTAAACTTTCTATACATACCAAAAAAAAACATATAACTGAAATTAATCCTTTGTGATTTTTTCCAAATCAATCGAGCTAGTGGTTAGCTATTTAAAGAACCTTATCGTACATTATTTGGTCAGTGGGTAGCCTTAGGGGCGGATTTTATTTAGTTCCTAAACAGAACTTTTCAAATTGAGTACGTACGCACGTACAAGTCTTTGAAATTTTCTAACCTATCTCATTTCTTCTAGATGCTCCGACGTTCAAGAGTCTTCCAAAGGACGTTGAAGCAGAAGTAGGAACCACAGTAACCCTCAGCTGTGATGTCGATGGATACCCCCCTCCTGAGATAAGGTGGCTACATCATGAAGAAGACCAGATGATTGTAAGTATACCTTAAACTGTTGATTGGGAAAGTTGAACTTAAGGGTATAAGGGATTGCAGACCATCGTATAATCTGTCTATTCAATTGCTGATTATCTCATAGACCAATAAATATAATGCCCTCTTAAACTTCGAAAAAGGAAAGACGATATGAGTAGTTTATAATAAGTCTATTAATATGTACCTACCTACTGGGATTCAATATATTTGAACTTTCAAATGAGTACCTTATAAAACTTATATCAAAATTAAGGAAAATATCATAAGTTTTTATCCCATAATTAGTATCAATGAATAGAAACTTAAACATCACAATAATTTTCTAAAGAAATCTAAAAAGGATGTCAGCTATTTTTTTCTGAACTACTCGGGATAAATATATTGAACCAATCCATTTCAGTAGTTCCCAGAAAGTTCCATTTTAGCCGCCTGTCCTTCCTGGAAATAATTCTACTACAACGTCCAGTGAAATAATTTGCTGTTTTCCAAATATTATTTTTGACACATCGCGTGGGATTGATATTGTTATTGTGATTTGACGTTTATGTAAATATTTTGGTGAAGTACTATTTTGGAAATATAATATAAGTAAATAAATATATTGAGCTTTTTGTCAAATAAAACTGAGTACGTACTGAGCGCATCAAGCAAAAACTATATAGTATGTCTCAGTTATTAACCTGTTTCACCGTGATTCATAAATAAACTTTAAAATTTGCTCATGCAATAAGATTTACATCGACAAGCACATCGTATTCTTATAAAACCACCGAACTTTAAAACTTATCAACAATAACTTAGGTAAGTGTGGGAGAGCCATGCTTCGGCACGAATGGGTCGGCTCGACCGGAGTGATACCACGGCCTCACAGAAAACCGGCGTGAAACAACCACAGCGTTGTCTTTCGCCGTGTGAGTGAGGTTACCGGAGGCCCATTCCTTCCCCACCCCCCTTCCCTCCTCAATCCCTAAATCTCCAAATCCCTAATCCCTAAAAGGTCGGCAACGCACTCGTAACTTCTCCGTTGCGGGTGTCCATGGGCGGCGCTGATTACTTACCATCAGGTAATCCGTCTGCTCGTTTCGCTTGTCTGCCAATCTATTACATAAAAAAAATAACTTCTCATCCTTCATCCTTAAAACTCGCCAAATATTACTTAATAAAAAACAAAATAAAACGAAACAAAAAAACTCACGAATCAACAAAAGAATTTCCAATTAGAAGCGAAACAAATGATTAATACAAGCAACGGTTTTGACACCGTGTAAGTGTGTTCGTCACGTTAAATTTTTGTACATTCTAGATGCTGTGAAATTGATGACTTGTGTCCATTTTACAGAATTTTGTAACCACACTTTAACCGTTACCTCGTGGTTCGGTATTTAGGTTTTAATTCTTTATATTAACTACATATATATGTGTCCAAGTTTTTTATTTTTATAAATCTGTTGCTATTATTTATTAGTAGCAGGGCTCGAATGCCGCGAATAAAATTTGTTTTTTGTAAAATTCCATTGGTATTTTTGTTTTCTCTTTTTTGATAAAAGTTTATATTCTGTTACTCTGCAGTGATGTGTATTTTGTTAGCTACAGTATGTACTTTGATTGGTACAAGCGATATATTATCTGTACAGATGGTAAGCTATTAACGCTACATATGAATGAACACAAAAAACCATTTAGGGATTAGGTATTCCGGAGTTAAGGAACAATAGTAATTTATTATTTTAAGGACAAGTGATCTGAAAAAATAAACATCTTTAAAAATTACGATTTCAATTTCTATCCCAAATAAATTTAAATGGCTGAAACGAGCGTAATTATAAACCAAACTTAAATCCAAATTTGTAGCTAAACCTTGATTCGGTCAAAAATTTGTCTTAATCCAATACATTAAGATCGGTTATTAAACTCAAGATAAATTACTAGGCAGGATAATAATACTAAATAAAGTACAAAAACAAGATAGTACAACTCCAAAGCATGGAACAAAACGCGTAACTAATTACACATTTTTAAAACGTCGGTTACAAAACAAGTTTGTTTGGCATTCAATTCTTTGTATTCAACAAATGTCAATTTCAGTGTCGCCCTTTAGGCAATTTATAATTTGACATATTTAACGTAACGCGATGTCATATATCTTTCTTTGAAGATGTGGGCAGATTCGTCACACCCACTTATGACTGAAATACTTCGTTTTGACAAGTTCTTTACAAGTAGGTGGATCTAAAATTGAGTCTTGTTAGCAAAATGAGCTAGGTAGTGGTACTATAGAAAATATCAACGGCCGATAAGTATTCACTGCTAAGCAAAAGTCTCTGTTCAGATGGAAAAGGCATAAGAATTGATAACTGCTGTTGGTCTAGGTGGAATAAAATTTCATACTTGTAATTATAAGTCTTGGCTTTCTCACGATGTTTTTCTTTACTACATGTAAGTAGTCTCAAAATAATCTAATTATGTACTGTCGTATTGTAGGTTTTACACATCACGCCTAGACTCTGAGTAAAAATATAAAACGAATTGTATCGAGCGAGAATCAAAACCGTGATACGTTGCATAGTAGCCAATTGTCGAGCTATTGCGCCAACCGTTTTATCAAGCAAGACTTTATTTTTTAATCCTTAACTTGTAAAGGAATCTCCTTTTAGATAAAGTGTTATACAAATAGATGAAAATCGATCTCAGTGGCGTGATATGAAGAGATCTGCTCGTAGCTCGTAGAAGTGAGCTCAAACCGCCTAAATTGAGAGATTCTCATTAGGATAAGTTACGGCGTATTAAATCAGTTTTGTTCCAAGTCAACGACGATCTTTGGGACTTAGAAGTTACAATAGAAATGATATTGGGCTACAATGAGATATCTTATAAGGATATTTTACAGTGCCTTTGATCAGCTTTATACCATGCACGGTCTAAGGCTAGTCTTTGAGGATCGGACAAGGTCTGTTCCTCAAGGTCATCCATTAGGTTTTTATTTGGTAGTACATGCATCTTATTGTAAACGTATGACAGCTAAGTACTTTTTTTGTAAATAGTTATTAAAAACGATCTTGTACACGTCAACGTTATATAAACAAAATTCGAAAGGCCAGCATTTCTTGGTCAGTCTTTTTAAAGTCCAGATCAGACCATAAGATGAATAATGATCCCTCGATCGACGAAGAAGTCATTTAATAGTTTTCTAACAAAATTATCAACAACTAAACCAATTACATCTCCAGTATAATACAGAACTACACAAGTATCAATATCTGACTCCTAATTGTTTGGATCTTCCAAAAGTTATTTCATTTGTGTTATTTACTTTGTACGAAACTTGCCTATATTAGAATTGTTTTTTCCTTCAGCTTTATGTTCGTAAAAATTGTAATAATATTAATAAATATTTGCTTAATTTTTGTTTCTTGGATTGTTTTGTATCTGTATAATCATTAGATATTAAGATTTAAGTAGGCAGTTACGTTTAATTTTATGCATTTTGAAGTATAATAAAATCGTTAACCACTGTAAGGTAACGTGGCCCTAGTTCGGAGCAGAAGAAGTAATGGACCAGTAAGGATGGTTTTTTGGCAGCCAAAGTCTGACACTCTTTCTCCCCTCACCCAGGGAGAGAAAGTCATAAAAGAGGAAACGCTATTGGATTTTTGTAGGATTGTAAAAATGTGCTCATTGTGTGACATATTACGCTATAGTAAAATAATGTTGAAAAGCATACCTATGTTCATGAAAACATCTGATTTTATTATACGGAGGTATTTTCTCAGGCCATACTTCCAGAATAACTGACACCTCTAACTTACGGTAAAAATACACTGTGAGGAAACTTCGACCTATAATTTCAATTCAATTATAAGTTATAAATTGAAAATCCACCTCGAGCTATCGTGGTGATTAATGCTCATTATTTCTCTGTGCCTACTGCTAACGACCTAAGTCGTTTCTTAGCAGGAGGCACTAGGCACCTATAGAATAATGATGTGTGCGGTAAGAATTAATTAAACAGATTTTTTTTTACTTCTATGCTGGAGGATTCCTCTTTTGCTGTTTAGTGTAATACACACATACAAAAACAATTTCATTATATTTATATTTTTTTAGACTGAGATAGGTATAAGATTAGTATTAGAGTCTCCTAATACTAAGCATCATACACTATCTACATTAGGTCTACTACGACCGTAGGTAATTTCAAAAACAAATGTTATTAATATTATCTACAAAGTCCAAAATCATTTTGAAGTAACTTTACAACTTATACAACGTGGGCGTCAAATATGGTAGCCTTGTTACGAAAACTTATGTTATTATTATCCAAAAAAAAGTATTTCTCCTAACAAGACCTGAGATAGCTCTATTTGTGGGTGATTCATAGTTTCTTTTGTTTCATCATGACTTGTAATGTTTTTATTATTTAAATTACTTATATTAGTCCCGCCTGTCTTTCATTCTTAGTTATTCTTTTGTTCCAAGATTTTTGTACGACATATGTTTTTTTTTAATGTTACCTGGTAAGCAATTAGTGCCGCCCATAGACACCTGCAACAGGAATTACGAGTGAGACCTTTTTGGGATTAGAGATTTGGAAATTTAGGAATTGGGAGAGGGGAAGGATTGGGCCTCCGGTAACCTCACTCACACGGCGAATCACAATGCTGTGGTTGTTCCACGTCGGTTTCCTATGAGGCCGTGGTATCACTTCGGTCGAGCCAACCCATTCGTGCCGAAACATGGCTCTCCCACACTTATGTTTTTTTTTATCTGCAATTAGTTGCGAAGTTTACACCGCCGTACTCAGAATTATTTAATGATTACTTTTTAGTTACTTCAAATGACTTCTCCCGCTCAACGTTGATTCAAGGGAAGTGTTCATACCACTACCCTATTACTTCTCCTTCTGCAGGCCGGACCCCATTATTATTTGAGTTAACAAGAAATACATAGTTTATAAAATCATTATTTGAGAACGACAGTATGCAGCGTAATATTACTTTCACAAATTTAGACAAACCATTTTAACTATATAGAAAAAATCTAGACTTTGGTGATGATGTATCTTATTAAAAGAATATTAATAAACCATTTTTGTCTACAGAGGGTGGGCAGAACGGCAAACCTGACTCTTACTCTGGACACCCATACTTCGGGTCGATACCTATGCAAGGCAAGCGTCGACGGTTACCCTGAAATAGAGGCTGAAGCTTCAGTTTTTATTAAAGGTAAGTACATTCTATAATAGCATTAATAGTTATATATTTTAAAAATAAATAAACTGAATAGATTCGTAGAAAGAAACGGAGGATTGTGTAGTGAACATTTATATTCCAAACTTATTTGATGTATCCATTTTTTTATTCAAGAGAACCCAATTAAAATTCTATTTTTGAATTGAGAATTGAAAAGTCTGCTATTTTTTTTTCTATGAATCTGGTACTTATAATTATTCATATGCAGCCTGTAAGTGCACGCTGCTGAGCAAAAACCTCTTTTCGAACGAAGAAGGTTTAATCACCATATTTGTTGAAGGTGAATTGGCGATTTTAAAACTTATAATATAAGAGTATAGGTTCAAGTTTGCTCTCGATACATGTCTAACGTATATTAATGGCGTCTTAAGCAATCTTAGAAAGTAGATAATAACTGAAATAGTCACATTGGTACTTGCCAGTTACTGAGTATGTCAGTCCTTTCAGAGTATGTCAGTGACTTAGAAAAAGTCATATTGCAGCTACCTGGTATAGAAATAAAATAACCTCGAACTCATTCTAACAGAGCACTCGTCACATTATTAACCTATATTCAATTCAAGGTTGTAAGAAAAATTTCTAGTTATTCAATTAATACTAGTTTATAGGGAATCTACGATTCATATGAATTGAGCCTCTACATACTCACTTGTCAGTCGCAATATGGCGAAACGCAAGCTTACTCGGAATACTTTCTGTGTACTCGGTATTAACGTAATTAAAGGAATTAGAACAATTGAAATCAAAGTGAGTTAGTGGAAGAGAAGTATCAGTGTAACTGTCTATTGAAGCGTTTTGTTGTGAAATGTTTCTTATTGGTGTGATATTAAAGTCTTGAATCGCACCACGTTTGTCATGTTTGAGCCAAAACCTCACTTTTCATCATCATCATCATCAGCCCATAAGTGCCCACTGCTGAGCAAAGGCCTCTTCTCACACGGAGAAGGTTTAGAGCATTAATCCTCACGCTTGCTCAATGCGGGTCGGCGATTTTAAACTTATAATTAGAAATTATAAGTCCAGGTTTCCTCACGATGTTTACCTTCACCGTATGTCAGTGGTTTCTAAATAATCATAGAAAGTACATATAACTAAGAAAAGTCATATTGGTACTTGCCAGGTTTCGAACCCGCACCCTTATGCATGAGAAGCGGGCGCTTTAACCAACCTCACTGTTACTACGAGAAATTATTTTTTTTGCATCAACATCTATCGGCTCTTTTAAGGTTTTGTGATTGGAAACGTGAGAAGGGTTATAAGGGAGTAACCTCAATTACACGGCAAAACACAGCACAAGCTTTGTGTAACGACGGTTGTCTTCGAGGCAAAAGTAGAAACCTATCACTCCAGTCAAGTCGGCCCATTCGTAGCATATTTCAGCACTATTTACAACTCGTTTGGAGTTACTTTCAACCATCAGCCGATTGCTTCTACCATCAGGTCTGCGTCAGTTCGTTTGCCACTCTATGCCACGAATAAATGAAATAATTCACCGTACTGCAAGATTAATTATTATGTTTTCGGCTAATTCACGTAATAATTTGATGAGGAGAGTAAGAGCGCGACAGTCGCCGAGTCGCGTGTCGCGGAATGCTGCTCATGAATATGGGCCTCTAGCACGGCTTGAAACTAGCCGAGTATCTCGTCAAATTATTACGTGAGTAAGTCGAAAACATAATAATTAATTTAGAATGTCTCACGAAAGTTATAATAAAAGTACTTCAAGATTTCTTCAAAATAGCTCTTCAGTGTTAAGCTGGCTAAATACTTCGTATGTACCTATATGTTATGCGCAATCAAATAAAAACAAATTGACCTACATAAATTCTAAGCAAGCAATTTGATAACTAATTTTATTCCAAAAAAGCTATAGAAATTCCAACGAACCAATGCTAGGTCGGTTATTTAATTTTTCCAGCAAATGTATGTAGGTACAATTGGATGGTTCTAAGGAACTTTCTATTCTGTAGTACGAATTGGTTTCTTTCATGAAATACAAATGGGTTGTTGCTTGTACGCTAGTACGGTGAAAAGCTCATTCTAAAATCCCTACCATGGTATCATGAATCATTATTTTATAAGGCATTCGCAAATTCTATGAGATCAAAGACTGTAATGTAATTAGGTGAACTTTTGTATGTCTTTTTTCAACATCGAAATGGTTGTTAATTAATTAGAAACTGTTTATTTTCTGTAAGGGAATTACTGAAGCCTATTCATGCAAAATTATAATTATGTTTTTCTTTATTTTATTCATTTTTATTTTGGACTGATTTTAGAAAATTTGTCCGTACATATTACGTCCGTATAGAGTATTAAAGATTTTAATAAACAAATAAAAACTATGTTTATAAGTAGAATATGATCTTTTTATGGATCCAAGTCGTATTAGCAAGAAAATTTATTTCACTAATAGAATTGACTTTAAATACAAAAGCTTCTAGTCTAGATTACAATCTAAATACAATACTGTTTAAACATTCGTTCAGTGCGAAACTGTGGCCTCGCAGAAAACCGGCGTGAAACAACGCTTACGGTTATTCGTGGATATGCAATCCTTGCCGCTCCCCATTCCTCAAATCCCTAATAGCCCCGAAGAGGCCAGCAACGTACTTGTATTTTTTCTGGAATTACGATAGTCTATGGGAGGCGCCAATTGCTAACCATCATAAAATCCGACATCTACGTTTGACAACTTATCCTATAAAACACTTTAAAAGAATCAATGAGTACAATTTTGTTTAGGGCTATTTTTTCAATAGTCAGATAAATGTTATCTAAGGAATAAAATTGTTGCTGTCACTGTCTTATACAAACATTCTGACGCGACACCATCATAATTATTCCCCAGATAACTTTTATCTAACCATTGAAACCAACCAAAAATCAACCCTAAGTGAAATTAAAATTAAACAAATGAAAAACTGTAATTCTTTAATTAGTTTAATGTAATTAAAATAGAATTACATTACACACACAAACATGAGTAAAATTGATTTAAATATGAAACTTTAAATTCAATTTAGCAAATACACTCCTTATAACAAATATCTAAATCTCATTTTAGATTAAATGAATTAAATTAGTTAGTTACGTACGTAGTACAATTATCTAATTTGTTCTAGTACTTGGCTAAGCAGAAATTCTTGATAGAATATTTAATAAAGGCCTCGTCTAGATACTATCACAAAATCTAATGAATCATTTAAAAGGTTTTATTACCAAAAATTTAGCTGAACTTGTAAAACAAGTACGTTAAAATTATTCAGAAACAAATTAGGTTTCAAATTAATTTTGAATTTGAATGTTTATTTGATACAAATTGTTGAAATAATGTGAATATTTTTTGTGCTAATTGTTTAAACTAACTTCAACTGTACTATCATCAAATTAATTCTGGCACGGTACATTTTCGCCCTTGCCCTGGCTGACCGTTAGCCCTATTTGGCCAAATATTTGGTGGTCTATTAGCTTTTTAAGGCGCGCGCGAAACGCTATGCTTTGTAAGCACGGGTCCGGTTCCATTCGTCTGCGCTTACGCACCCAAGGCGGGATAAGTTATTAGATGATTTGTCCCCCCAAAAAAAAAGAATGTTACTACTAATAAACTTTTTCATTCATTTAGTAAAATACTATCTTTTGCCCGCGACTCCGTTCGCGTGGAATAGTGACTTCTTGCAGATTTTTCATGTACAAAATGTCCTTTCTCGAGTTCCAAACTATGTCAGTACCTAGTTTCACAGAAATCAGTTCAGTAGTTTAGGCGTGACGAAAAGACAGACATAGTTAGCGTCGTATTTATAATATTGGTTTGGGTTGTTTTCAAAGACAACTAAATAAAAATATATAAGTAGCTACAATATTTTTTTAATTGCATTATTGGCGGACTAAAAAATTTTATTTTTTTACATTATCACCTATTGTACACTGTCTAAGCCTTCAAAGATTAAACTTTCAATCCAGGTAATTAGAGACACAATCGTACAACAATAGTCGCGCGAGCGTTCGCTTTTGGTTAAAAGAATTAAAAGATGTGACGTCACATAAAACACAGAAATTAACAGTTGATATTGAAAAATAGCATGAAATATTAAAATAATACGATTTAGAAAAATCTAGTTTCATTAGTACGACCCGTGTAATAGGGTGCTCATTATATACCTAACTAAAGCTACGTACGTATGTATCAGCGACGACGGCCTCGGAAAGGTGCATAAAAACTCTTTCATACAAACTATTCGCTAGTTCGTTTCCGCAACGCTTGCTTCGGTCTTTGTATGTTAGAAAAATGAAGTATTGTCTTGTGAAATACTTATGAGCTTTTGCCCACGACTTTGTTCGCGTCGAATAGTGACTTCCTGCAGATTTTTGGTTTAAAAACTATCCTATGTCGTATCTCTAGTTTCAACCTATGTCTGTACCAAATTTCACACAAATAGATTCAAAGTCAAAGTTAAAGTCAAAATCATTTATTTTAATTAGACATATACAGGCACTTTTGAACGTCAAACAAAATTTTAAAGATATAAAGTGTCAGTCTGTCGGTCAGTCCTCTTAGTGAAGCTATTCGCTCGTTCCAAAGTGTAGATTCCGATGGAGAAGAACGAGCAAGAAACTACTCGGTTACTCTTTTTAAATCAGTGTCACATTAAGATTCTTTGATACATTATTCAGTAGTTTAGGCGTGAAGAAAAGACAGACAGACAGAGTTACTTTCGCATTTATAATATTAGTTTGGATTAGAGTAGAGAATGAGTCACGTTGAAGTAATTCTTAGTTAGTACGAAACAATAATACTTTGTGTTATCTACAATTTTTTTTTTTTTATTTATTTGGTCGGCAAACGCGTAGACGGATTACCTGATGGTAAGCAATCAGCGCCGCCCATGGACACCCGCAACGGAGGAGTTACGAGTGCGTTGCCGACCTTTTAGGGATTAGGGATTTGGAGATTTAGAGATTGAGGAGGGATTGGGGGCGGGGAAGGATTGGGCCTCCGGTAACCTCACTCACACGGCGAAACACAAAACTGTGGTTGTTTCACGCCGGTCTTCTGTGAGGCCGTGGTATCACTCCGGTCGAGCCGACTCATTCATGCCGAAGCATGGCTCTCCCACACTTAAATTGTTGTTCCGGGATCAAATTGTTGTGATGTGTGCATATGAAATTGTATTTTTGTAAACGCACCCACGACACTGGAGAAAATCTAAGTGTGGGGCAACGTTTAAAAAAAAAAACAAAATCTTAGGGCTTGTTTTGAATCCGTGTGTTATGTTAATATTTTTTTAACAAGGTTTTATTTTGTCCTTTATATAAGTATGTGAAGGGAATCTTGCAAAAATAAAATATTGGATCAAACGATCAAGCTGGAACTTTGTGATCTAAAATTTTGTACTCCACAGTCAAGAAAACATGACAGGAACTACTGTTATAAACAAACAAAACAGTAAAAAAAATACGTTCGCCATAACGAATACATAACAAGATTAATAACAATGATGACTTTTTATTTTCTTTAAGAGAACCATTAGATTAATGAAGTCTCGAGCATAAATATAAATACATAATAAATAAATTCCATCAGCCTAATGACCCGAAGTAAATAACAGTCCATTTAATTATAAGTCTTAATATGAATAAGTTAACGTTCATAGTACAATGGTAAACGAACAAAGGCAGACATTTCGAAGTCATATAGTTGGGTTCTTACCTAGAATAATTTGTTATTTTAATCACAATTTGTAAGTGGGCCAGTTCTAACTACGTTAGTCACAAAAGGGTTGATTTCTAAACCTGAAACATTCGTTGTTCCCATTCAATTTAAACTTTGACTTAATGTGAATTAGGTAGGTATTTCAATGACTCAATCCTCGGCTAATTACGTTGTAACATTTATAGGTGTATTTGGGCTGTTAGTTTTGTCTTTTTCGTTCAAATGGAAATTGGAATTGGAAAGAGAGGGATAGAATATTATAAAGGTAGAAAAGTAAATAAACACTGACTTGGTTATATATTGATCAGAATGTAAGCGTTAAGGTATAAGTACATTTATACTAATTTTACAAGGTTTTTGTTTGCTTCGAATTGAATGATTCTTTTTGTGTTAGATAGTCCTTTTATCAAAGAAATCTACGAACAATAGGAGCCGAGCAGTGAACTTAACTTATGATTTTGAAATCGCCAATCCGCCTTGATCAAACTTGTGGTTTAATGCTCTAACCTTCTCCGTATGAGAAGACCCACCTTCAGCAGTTAGCCCTTACACAAAAAATTCGCTCTAGACACTAAACCTCATAAAACTAAACCTACCGTATAAACAAATCATTATAATTTTGTCTAATTAAAACCTTCTTTACAGGTCCTCCGAAGATAATTTCTAACCAGACCCAATTTGGATCTCAAGGGGACACGGTGAACATTGAATGTGCAGCCTTTGCGGTACCGAGAATAGACAATATCATATGGACTTTTGATGGGAAAGAGATCGATTCCATACATGATCAGGTAAAAATATTACTTACAATTTTTTGTGTGTAAAAATTTTACGGTATGAAAGCCAAAATAATAGTTTCATTGGCCAAAAAGAAGTATATTCGAACTTATAAAACCATAAAAACAATGATTTACTCATAATATAAATAAAAAAAAATAACATCTTGTCTTTCAAGACAAAAAGTAAAACGAAACATGTTTAAAAAAAGAATACCAAATTAACAATAAAAAAATAGACAAAATTAATCTTTATTCTCTATAATCTGAATTATAAATTCATATAAATAAATAAACAAAACAAAATTTCCTCACATATTAAAGATAATATATATAAGACAATAATTGTGCAAAAAGTATCAAATAAATATAATTAACGATATCAAAATTTCATATCATTCTTTAAAATTAATGCTGGTTACAATGATTAAAGGTGTGTCTCGTCATTAACGTACAAAACTTGTTATTTATGATACTATACGCCAATCACAATTTATAAAACCACGTTATTTCACACTGCCATTATTTCGAAGGTTGAATTCAAAATAATTGGCACAAGATTCGGATTAATTTTGATCATTATCACAACGTTAGTACCTTAATATTTGTTATACTAAGGAATCGTTAATTATGTAAAGGTAAATATTAAAATATATGTACGAATATTGAAATACCACTTTTTTGCTAAAACTATTTTATTTTAAATATAACTTATGACCCGCCCTGGCTTCGCACAAGTGCCATGTTGATACTTATTTTCTCCACTGTGTAATGGAAGTTATTATACATGTAAACCTTTCTATCCAATCACTCTATCTATCAAAAAAAAACCGCATCATAATCCGTTGCGTAGTTTTAAAGATTTAAGCATACATAGAGACATAGGGATAGAGAAATCGACTTTGTTTTGTATAATGTAGTGACTGTCTAACGTGTATTAAAATAAGTAACTATAGTGATTGAAACTTGCAAATTAAATCTTATATCTTAACGCACAATGCTCATTTTCTATTGTAACCTACAACAATAGTATTTCTTTGGCACAGGACTATGCATTTTTGGAAGAGTTACAATCAGGAGGTGTTGTGAACTCCACGCTAATCATCAGAGAAAGCCAGTCTAGACATTTTGGTGTCTACAAATGCAACGTCTCCAATGACTATGGTAGTGACACCATGGAAATAATATTAAGGCCTAACAGTAAGTACTTTTTTATACCTTTTTTATGAAACGCCTCATAGAGAAGGCGGACGGCCTTCTCTATGAGGCGTTTGTCCTTGAAACAGCACGTATTGTGAAGAGATTTCTGTCTCTAAAAGTCTAACCAATGGTAGCTTGGACATTGCACCCGATGCGAGCTGGCTACTATTTTTATATTTAATATTAATTTATTATAGGTATATTTTATTGTAATATTTTAAAATATAATATAAATATTCCGTGGATGTTATAAATATATTTTTATAAACTTTAGAAACTTGCAAATGTCAAAAAGTAATTGAATTCCGTAAATATAATGAATTAAAACTGATTTTCTAATATCAATTATTTTGTATATTAAGCTCTTATGAACCTAAAAGTAGGTGTTTAACTACAAAAAGGTATATTATTGGATTTTGTAACTAAGAGATGGAAAAATATATAAAAATTTAATGATTTTTCTGTTCAAGTGTTCAGTAAACACCAACTCAAATGTTTTTATTTTCATTTTAAATAAAAACTCAATATGAAAAAGTTATATTAGGAAGTAAGATAATCCTGTTTGTATTTGGTCTTAAAACATGATGGGTTCCGTCATTAGAACCATTGTTTTTTATTAACTATTTTATGTGAAGAACTTTACGACTTACGAGTTTATGAGTTTTCCTTTCCTTCAAAGAAATTGAAAGAAAAGATAATCTTTGTTTGATGGATCTTTAAAGACCATGTAATGGCTGAAAAAATTGGCTTGATGTACTTCTTTTTAGAAGAATATTTTTTTGGCGAAACTTTATCAAATGTCGATGAAGTTTTGGTGTGATCTTAACTATTGTGTAGACTGCTTAGATCGAGTTAGTGAAGAATGACGTAATGACGAAGTTCGTCCTTTTAAAAATATACTTACGTGATAGTATAAAAAAGTAGAAAAAAGGTTTTAATAAAAATACGATGAGGAGATTTCGATTTCTGAGTCGAATATCATTGAAATTTTGGGTGTAATATTTTGTTAGTTGCTATTTATATTTGAAACAATTAATTTTTTTTTTAAACGTTGCCCAACACTAGGATTTTCTCCTGAGTCGTGGGTGCGTTTACAAACATACAATTTCACATACACGTCACACCCAGACCCGGAACAACAATTTGTTGTAGATCACACAAAGAGTTGTTCCGTGCGGGAATCGAACCCGCGACAAGTTGCACGCAACAAATGAAAGTTAGAATAAAAATAAAGTAATAATATCAATGTAATATGTAATATACTTTTTTTTCATGGATAAAAATTAATTTTCTATTAATTCATTTATTATAAAAATTATAAAAAAAATTACAGATTATGTAAAAATATTAATGGCACGAATTTTAATATTTACAACAAAAAAAAAATGTTAAATACATAAAATATAGCAAAAGTTAAAATGGTTATTTACCATCACAAAACGTCCGACCAATACATTATTTTCGTTCATTCGAAAATTCGCTTCAAAGCCTCGGTTGAAAGAGCATCACTATTATTCTCGCATCTGACAGACCCGCTATTACGTTTTCAACGGTCGTGTATTATCGTAAATGTATCGCCATTTTGACTATATTACCCTCACATAACTACACTATCAATCTCCAATCTCTTCACAAAATCCCCGATATATTTTTCTAAAAAAATCTTTGAGCAAGATTAGTTTTTGGTCATTGTATGCTGATCGGAGGTCTAAAACTTATGTCTTAGTCTAGAAAAAAATAACGTCATTCTAGACTGATACTGTTTCTAACTTTCGTTTTTTTACAACGATCCAATTTGCGTTTATTTTCGATATTATTTTTGACGAGAATTCTTTGCCAGAGTTTGTGTCATTCGAAGGGCTATGTAACCTAACATAAAGGGCTTTTCAACACTCGAGTTAGAAGATTCCTTATGGGTACTTCCTACTCCATCATAAGTCGAGTCATCGCTTATCACCTCGAGATGGAGTCCAAATTTTAATGTCAGCTTCTAGTAAAAAAACATGAGCTCATATTAAAAAAAAAATTCGAGAAAAATATAAATGTATATTTTCAATAAGAAATTGATGTCGTTATTTCATTTTTGGGGCCAAACAATGAGTGTGGCGGGCTTTGATTTGAAAATTTTATACATATCTTCATAGCTTTAAAATTTTCGCCTAACCTTACAACTGGGTTTATTACACTAGCGAAAAATAACAGTTTTATTGTTGAAATTTCTGATGTACAATTTCAAAACAAATCAAAATCGTTTTTATTTTATTTTTTGTTCTAGAAACATTCCCACTCCTTCTAATCTTGTTCGGAGTGACATCAGGAACGATAATGGTGGCAGCAGTCATAATGCTGGTAATACTATGTCAAAGAAAACAAAGGAAAAACAAACAGACACAAGTTACTGAGAAACCTGATGTCACAGTCACTGCAGAAGAACTGTACAAAGAAAACGACAGGAATTCAAATATAAGTGATTTGAAATTAGAACTGAGACAAGCAAATGGCAGCTGTGAAATTGTGAGTATAATTTTTGTTGAATATTATTTAACATAGAGTTTTGTTCCAAGGAGTTATAATGTTTCTTGTTGTAAAATAGACTAGGACGTAGCTAATATGTAAGTCGTCTTCTTTGGGATAGGGCAGAAAATAATCAGAAATATTACCTGGTGGTAAGCAATTGTCGCCGTCCATAGACAACACTGAGCAGTTACAAGTGTGTTTCAAATGTGAGATTTGGGGATTAAGGGATTGGAACCTCACTTTATGTACATATGTTTTGTTTTTAATTCAACCTTACCATTCTTAGGCAAAGATGAATTGAAAAGTATTATTCTTTCCTTTTGCATTATTCAATTACAACAGCGATTTCCATTGTGGAGACCGTTTTATTAAAAAGTAAAATCAGAAGTCAGTATTTAAATCTAGGTACTTTAGGTAGATTTGAGCTAGAATTCTTAACCAAATACCGTTGAATATCAGAATAATCGAGAACCTAATACAATTTGCTTCGACAATAACGAAGTTAGTCTAAAGATATTTACAAATTTCATTGCTAAACAAAGTCATAACATTAAGAGTACACCTTTGAATATTGATCAACATAATCTTGGAGCTAAACTGATATTATTAGAAAGAGACGACACTATAGATAGTGAACGTTAAGCGATAGTAATAACAATTAATAGCTTCAATGAATGATCAAATTTCTCAACGCTCAAGTTGTAATGGTTGAAAATTGAGCACATTTTGCTTGAACGAGAAGGTAGATATTTAGGAATAATTTGTGTTGATCCATAGATTATTATGTGGTTATATGATATTGGAGTATCATTAATATTTAGCTGTTGATGATACATGTGACCTACTATTTGATATGTTGCGGCTTCGCTACACTTAACTATGGTTAAGTGATGTATTGCCTTGTCAATTATCGAGTTCATCTCCATTATAGGTGGTTGAATCTTTTTGATGAATCAATCAGTTGAATGATGTGGCTGGTATAATGATTTTGGAAATATTAACAACTATGTAGCTTACTGTTGCGGTATTTCTTGCATCTTACGGTAAAGAAATTAATATCTATAGAGAGATTATTGTTAGACTCTATTACAGATATTATTATCATTAGTTTTTCAATTAAATTAATTCCATTCTTCATCTTCTTCTATCACAAAAGTGGTCGTTTTAATATTTTTTTTGTGGTTGTGTTAAATTTTTGTATTTTTTATTTAGTTTTTTTTACTGTGTTTATTATTCTTGGAGCTTATTTTATCTCCTTAATATAAGTCTTTGGTAAACTTATGTGGTACCTAATTCATACAATTGCGTTCCTTATTATATCTGATAAATGATGGATACACAGATACTATGAACAATATTTACCATCAAACGATCCGTTTGCCGGTATGCTGACATAATAAACCCATTGGAAAAAAATCTGTTCTGTAGGACTTGAGTCAACTGAAGACTAGTTGTCACTAGTCCTGAATTTTAATGTCCTAATTTTATTGTAGCTCATTTAGACCCAACTCCATAACTCTATAAATCGTATTTTTTTCTAGGATTACTCAAACACCGGATCGGATAGCACATTATGTTCGAATGCTAAACTTGGTAGCGGCATTCCGCTCGCTGGAACGGTGCCTCTATCGTCTATAAACCAGCAGAACACATACCAACCGTACAGATATAGCAACGACTACACGGACCCCGCGTACGCTGATTGTTATAAGGTAATGGAATCTGTAGTACGTCTATCAATATTCTCTTCCATATTTTGTGCAATCTTGGGACTATGCTTGATGTAAATGTTGCGTTTTAGAATCATTTTTGTTCGTGCTTTTTTCGTTTGTTTTTATTTACTACTATTATTATTGTTGTGGTTAATCTTGAAGGTTGGCAGTCTTTTTATCCTTTTCTTTCTCTTACTTTAATAGCATCTATAACCAAATATGTAATTTGTTTATCAAGTTTAGTGTCTTGATATTCTACATTATCTATCTAAATACTGCCAAGTACTATGTTCATCATAAGAGTTATTTTTTCTATTTATCAGCTTCTTAGTAGATTCTCGAATGATGGCTTTTGTTACTGACTGCAATTATTTTTAGGTCAACGGTTTCAACAATGGCTATCAAACGTATGTACATTACGGCCATGATTATACTCCTGGATCTTTGAGGGTACAGTCACCAACAATGAGCAGTGAAAAACTTACGCCTAATAGGTAAGTTATATATTTTCAAGCGTGGTTATATCAGCAAGCGTAGTAACATACCCGGCCTCACCTTGGAGTTGGATAAAGAACGGGTGGTTTTTAATAAATAAGAATCTGACATCTCTAGCCCCACCTAGGGTAAAACAAGAAATCTAATGACTACTCTTCCTACAGTTTATTGATCGATATTTGATTCTGGTACAGCTTTCCATTTCATATTTTTCAACTAGTACCTATCACAAAATGCAACATAATAAACACCTTATTAGGGATAAGAAAAGCAGTATAAAGGTGCTTATATCGCAATAAGATATCGCTATTGACTTGACCATCGATTTATAAAGTTATCCAAATCTACCAAATTCTTTAAAATGATTTTTAACTTTATTGTTTTGTAATAGATTCGTAAATGTAGTTAGCCGTCAAGATTAGCTTGAGGAGTTAGCTACTACAGAAGGAAATGGCTGTCAACGTTTATTAATTCTTTATTTCATCACACCAGGTCCGTCAACGGCAGCTTACCACGTAGCGTGGATACTCCATCGACAGTCCAATTTAACACTGGCAATGGGTCACAAAATAATTCACTCCAGAGAAAACAAAAAAGGCAGGATAGCAGCAATGCCCTGAATAACCTTGGGCTTCCCACACCTGATGGTAAGTCTACTCCTTATTATTATTTATTTCGAATAGGTCGGCAAACGAGCAGACGTATTACCTGATGGTAAGCAATCAGCGCCGTCCTTAGACATCCACTAACAACACTAAAGTAGTGCGTTGCCTGTATTTTATGGATTAAGGGCTTTCGAATATTTAAGGATGGGAAGAGACGAGGGTGGTTGTTTCACGCTCGGCGAGGCCGTGTTATCACTCCAATCGTATCAGTAGAGAAATATAGGTAGGTATCTCGTTCTGGATTATAGACCAATTGGAACTACATATGCCTGTTATGTAAATTAGAGCTTCTTACTCAATTTTCGCCAATTCGAATGTTTATCACAACGATTTCCTATTTAATTAGTACGCAATATTTCGAAGGGAGAGTGTGATAATTATTTTTGTAAATATTTGTTTTTTTTTCATGTATTTTTTTCCTATGACGTTCGGAAATTATGTTTACAATATGACGATGTGTTGTTTTCTTCCATTCTTCTAGTAACTGTAGTAGACAGCTAATTACTTCTTTTGAAAAGAAATAAAAGGGACTAATGCCGATTACTTTAGCTATGGTATAGTCTACCGTAACTATTACCGATTATTATTATTGAGTTATGAACTGAATGGCCAATCCACTATGGCTCACTATAACATAACTATCACTAAAATTATTCCCTTTTCAGTCCAGAAAATCGTCCATATTCTCTAACCTCTACGTCATTTTTAGCGAACCGAGTACCAAATGGCGGGATCATCCACGGTGTAGATGTTCGGTACGCGGCAACCTACGGCAACCCCCACTTAAGAACAGGTGGAGGTCTTGGGTTTGCTACGACGGTGAACACCGCCAAACCAGCATCAACTCCAGCACCACCACCATACTCCTCTGTCAGAAGTTCCGTGGTGCTACCTTCAGGTGAGTAAAAGAGACTACCAGAGATTAACCAATTTAACTTGGTCCACGATTGCTAACATTATCTAGGCTTTAATAGATCTTACTAATCTGGTAAAATAAACATTGCTGTTAACCAGTATAACATGAACTAACATTGATCACATCGTGCAATCTTTGGTGGATATTTTTACACTGGTTTTGCGTAAGACAAAATTTTCTTAAGAATCTTGTGTCAAACTTGTGTAAAAAAGCAGCGGCGGGAAAAGCCAGTACACAACTTTCCCCCCATTATGTTATTCATATACGTAACAAGGCCTTCATAGCCATACATAGGCCTCTGCCAATGACTCTTAGATAGATGCAATGTAAACTGAGAAAAGCTCTACTAGTTTCAAGTCACAACGGGACTCTTATTCATGAGCAGGCGATCTCGCCCAGCCAAATGGCATTTATCAGTTTTGCATATAAACAAAAAAAAATACGCTTCGAATGGAGAACCTCCTCCTTTTTTGAAGTGTGTTAAAAATTCTAAATGTCCTCATAACTTAAACATTTTAAAACATAAAAATGTGAGTCTGTGAAATGACTTTGTTTATTACCAAAATGGGTGTCTTAATAGAATTTCTATTTTCGTTCCGTTTTCACCTCTATTATTATATCATATTACAGGGGAAAAAATGTATATTTATAAACACTTAGAACAAGGAAGTTTTGTGGCCGGTATACAACAACGGACCTTACTACAATGTTATTAACGTTGAGAATAATGTCACCAAAAATTTTTTATTCAAAAAATAATTGTGGTAGTATTTATTTTAATCATTTTTAAGCTCTGAAGGCAGTAGCATTATTTTTTGCAACTCCAATTCCCGGACGGAATAAAAATCAATCTCGTCGACCGTCCACCATATTGTTTTTGTAAATATTTATTATTTGTGCTTGTAAAGCAGCAATTCCTAGAATAAAAAAAATATTTTACGAAATAATAAAAATACATATTTCGATTTCCAGCCATCTGATACTAGTATTCATTTATTTATATTTGTATTTTAAATATTGTAGGTACATTTAATTTAACATTTCCTAAAATGCATACATACCTATTTGTTTTGAGCGAATAAAATTGTTTACTTAGTAATTAGAAAAAAACAACTCTTTCATTTTTTAGCTCGTTATACATATGTACATAGATCTGGCAAAAAAGAGGATTTTATTTATATCATTTGAAAATAGAATATTGTGTTTTATTGCATAAACATTTTGTGTAAATACAATTTTCTATTTTTTTTATTTTTGGAACAGATAATTATGTTTTATTGTATAGTCTTTTCTGTAAATACATTTTTTATTTATAATTATTTTTGGCACAGGTAATTCATCGCATTCGATAACGTCACCAACCAGTCTGGCGTCACCGCAATGCGCAACCAGCCCTATTACCACTTCAACCATGTCCACCGACAGTACGCAACCAGCGGTAAGTTAAATAAAGCTAATAAATAATAAAAAAATACCTACTACCTATAACACTTCAACGTCAAGATAATATGCGTACATGAATTGAGTTTAGTGAACAAGATACTTCGTTCTTTTTTTTTAAATCTTCTCGCTTTCTTCTTTTTTTATTTTAAGTATATAAAATTAATAAATGAATTTCATTTTAATACCTACGTCAATTAATAACTTTAACATATTTTAATTCTATTTTTATAAAAAAAACATCGACGAAAAGTACAAAACGAAGTTCTTGATAAATTACAAAAAAAAATAAGTTACAAATCTGAAGCATAGATTTTAGCACCATTGCTTCCATTGTTTTAAAAATGGAACCGTTTCTTTTTCAATGTATTTAAATTGTTTATTTTATTTTAGGTTGGGGTGGCCACATCGTCAGCGACACCACAATCGCCAAGTGCGCACTACATATTGGCACCATCAAATAGAACTATAAGTAATGCGACTGTTACCAAAAAAGGTAAGACTATCATTGTTTATAATAATATGAACTATCTGACAGTTATTTAATCGGATACTTATGAAAAGGTATCGAAACAGGCCCCTAATTATAAATTACGTCGACATTATGTTTATTCAGTTTTATTGTAGTTAAAATAACTTTGTTGTTTTGAAAACAAATAACAAAAAAAATTTATTTAATTAATAGGTATCTTTATTTGTACAGTAACTATTTTGAGACATGCAAAATTTTATGAGTTTCAAAGAGTGATGCCACGGCCTCACAGAAAACCGGCATATAAAACGAACATAGCGTAGTGTTTCGCCGTGTAAGTGAGATTAGCGAAGACTCAATTCTTCCTCTCCTCTCCCCAATCCCTAAACGGCAACGGTCGATTGCTCACCATTAGGGAATCCGTCGGCTCAATTAGGAAAAATATATGAAAATAAATGTTATAACAATTATATTAAGACAACAAATTCAACAGTTTTATTTGCTTTTACCAAAACAAAAACGTTTCACTACAGCTATATGCATGCATGTAGGTATGCATACTACGAAACGTAGGTATATTCGACACAAAAATATCACTATTTTCGTTTCATTTCATTCCATTCCATATGTACAGTTTCATCTATTGAAACGAGTTCGGTATAATGGTTCAGATATTGCGGAAATAGAATAGGAAATATATCAAGTGATGTCGGACCGGTAAATAATTCAAACTACGTTGAAAACGGGTGGTAAATCATGGACAGCACTTTGGAACATCGCTATAGATCGCATATTTTAGTTCGAGCATCGTACCCATACTTACCTACTTATATCTTTTAAAACGTATAAAATTAAAGTATAATACTTTTATATGGGATTGGACGTCTAACGAGCTGACCGATTACCTGATGGTAAGCATTCGGCTCCGCCCGTGGACTGACTGATAGAGGACTTATGAGTCATTTACTTTCCTTTTGGGGCTTTTGGGGCTTAGGATTTCGGAGATTTAGGGATTTGGGGAGTGGAATGATTGGGACTCCTTTTACCTCACTTACATGGGAAAACACAATCGAGCCGACCCATTCGAGCCGAAGCTTGGCTCTTTCACATCTTATTTTATTTCAAAATGTATAATATTTTGCCTTGGGAACTTTAAAAACATTATATTTCTTTAAAGTTATTATTCCGTATTAAAAATCCATCATAAAAATACAAATTTAAAATTAGAACTTGATCGAATAAGAACTTTACTTGGAGAGGTAGATGTACCTACCTAAAATATTATCTTACTAATATTATAAATACGAAAGTTACGATGTTTGGATGTTTGTTACTCAATCACGCCAAAACGGTTGGACGGATCTGGATAAAATTTGGCATAGGCATAGGATACACTCCAGAATAGAATATAGGCTACTCTTTATCATCATACTACGCGGGCTTAGTCGCGGTCGACAGCTAGTTGTTTATAAATATAAATCAAATCAAAATACACAATAATAAATGATGTTTATTTGTAAAATGTACCTAGTACGATCAATATTGACAGTTATTTTTGTTGTTTCCAGGTAACGGGCATCAAACCCCATTAGCAACCCACGTGTAAGTTAACTTTCACAATTTTTCTATAAAAAGACTTTTGATGAATTTACTACGCAATGACCTTGCGTATTATATAACTTAGTTATTTTTATTTCTAGCTATTAATTTAGAAATATTTTCTCATGTAAATTCAGCGGTCAAATTACCTAATGAAATGTAATCAATTATTACCTACCTAAACTTTTGTAATAAATTACAATTTTTAATTCAAACATTTTTTGTAGTTTTAATTTGTAATGTGTACTAAAAATTAAAATTTTTTACAAAAAATATTTGAATTTAAATTGTGAGCCTCTACTGTCTTTGACGTTGTTTAGCTAGCATATGAGTGTTCAAAATCTAGGTTATAGATCGTAAAACTAGATTACAACAAAGAAATCCTTGTCACAACCGAATTAGGCAAAGATTGATCGGTTTCAACCTATCCTGGTGTTAATTATACCTATTGCGTGTATTTTACCTTATAGGTGTTTTACGAAACTGGTAAATTATAATAAGGTGTAGATACATCATTTTAGTTTAAGACAAAAAAAAAAGCTATTGTAATGTTTACTATATCGCAAAACAAAATAGAATCGATTTTTTTTTAGAATAGTAACTATTTTGAGACAGAAAATTTATTGAAGATAATGACTTATTCACGTGAATGAAATCGCAACATGAATAAGAGTCCCGTTGTGACTTGAAACTAGTAGAGACTTTTCTTAGTTCATTCACGTGAATAAGTCGTTATTTTTAATAAATTTAGTTAAAAAAAACAGCCATTTCTAACACTTCACTGAACTGTCTTACTGCTAGCAAATAGTCTACGTCATACGAATTGTTTTAAATTAAAATGATGACTCTTCCATCTTCAAAATTTTTGTCAATTCTTTGTAAGTTGTTGAAAAAAAGAAATGTAAATTTTCGTCAATTTCTTAAAACCCGACTGAGACTGGTCTTGTTACTATTGTATTAAAGTGTGTATAATAATAATATTAAATTGAATTAAATGTATTTAAATGTAACGTCTGCATTTTTTTTGAGAGAAAATAATTTTATTTTTATCATTACATAAAAATACATTTTTGCTTTCTTTACACGGAAATTGTTAAGAAAAATATCTTAAATTTTAATTTTACAGTTAAACAAATTTTCTCTCAAATAAAAACATTTGTTACATTTTCATTAAATCATCGCCTTCTAGATTCATAATTTTATTTTCTTGTAAATAAAATCAAAGTCAATTTTTATAAAAATGAACTTTTAGTAATACAAGCCTACTTAGTAATTTTAGTTGATTTAATTTTTATGTTGTATTTTCACACATTTATAAAATAAAACTAGGATAAATGTTCAAGAATAGTAATTGTATTCTATATTTTTATGTTACACTGTTTATTTTCCAGAGAGTTACATATCAAAACAAAAAAACATTCTTATCACTTTCTGTCTTATAGATCGTTATTTAGACATAAATCTTATAGTTATTGTAATAAGCTTTAATTTGTCTAAAATGTGCCATTTTCATAATATCTCAAACATATCTTACATATTTTTATTTTTGCAAAAATGCACAGTTCTTCCATGATTTTCTGTAGTGCAATGTCAATTTTTATGCTATATTGCTGGGCGTTATTTAAATATTTTATTTTGCCCAGATAAAAATCATAGTAATATTAAAATCAATTATCAAATAAAATAATTACGGCTTATCACGACATGCTCAATAATCTATAGGAGAAGTAAATATTTCATTTAAATTTTTCAATTCAAGACTGATTAGACTAACCTACACCACACGCCTAATTTTTCTATTTCTACTCTTCAAAAATGTTTTTTATCTCATAACGTATTTTAGATATTTTATATTGCATATTATATCATTATCAAAAAATATACGAACGTACATTTAATTGCATAATAGAAATTCAAATATTACTTTAAAAAAATGTATTCATTTATTTAATATTTTAGTTTCAAATTATCTGAATTAAAATGTTTTAAAATTATTTGATTATCGAATAAAAAAATGCATATAATAAATAGCTTTTAGTGATACTGTATTTATATCGACACAATCGCCTTAGAAATCATGTCATCCGTCTTGTAATGTTAATTTTTGTTTTGTATTTTTAATTTTAATAATAGAATTTTATTTTAAAATCTTGTAATGAATTTTATTTTTTATTTTAAAATGAAATGTACGAAAAATATCGTGCACATTTTTACTAGCTAAATGTAAAACTGCTTTACCACTCGCGATTTTAAACTTTCGAAAAATGCAAACTACGTCTGAGTGTAGGGTGGTTTAAGTCTATTATTCCTCTTGTAATAAAACTATTATTATGCTAGATAAATAATTATTTTTTCTGTGATACATAGATTAAAGTGTTTTTTGTAAATATTAATTGCTATAATTATAACTATGTGAGTGAAAATTGTTAAGAAAATTGTACTACATAATATTAAAACGAAGTAAGGCTTTTGAGTATAATATGAACTAATTTAGCGGTTAGTATGGGGACTATGTTTTACGGAGTGAAGAAAGAAAAAAAAAATAAACTAGTTAGAAAAAAGGATGAGTTAAAAGTTACAACTTGTAAATTAGTAAAATTGTACAAACTACTTTTCTAAATAAAAGGAAACTTGGCCTATGTATGTGTGTGTGTTTTTATTTCCCTCCCGGGAATCTAATTTAGTTTGCCGATGTCAAAGGATGTACTTTGTGTATAGCAGGTTGAATTGAGTGATCTCTTTTGCCATTTCCAAAGAGTACACAATTCTATTTCGTTATCTTTGCGAAGGGAAAACTTTCAAGCGAATTCTTTACAATTTTCCTTTTACTAAAAATGTTTTTAGTATTATTTTGGCATTACTAATGCTATTTAGACTGACTATTTAGACTTCTTCTTAAAAATAATTTGAGAACTTATGTGGTATATAATGGTATTGATATTTTACTTTTCCAGCTTACCTACAATATTGATAACACTTACTCAATAATCGACTAAAAGTATTCACAGAATGCATTATGAGCTTACTGGTTATCATACTTCAAAAAATTTAATTAAAATGATATATCCTTAAAGTTTTTAATCCGAATGGAGTAGTAATTAACTAAAAATCGGACGCGGCGACGTCGCGCAGCCTACTGGTTTGTAGGCTGCGCGACGTCGCCGCGTCCGCGCACGCTGCTCATGAGGAAGAACCCCTCTGTGGTTCGAAACTAGTAGAGCTTTTCTCAACATTTATACGTGAGTAACCCGCGATTTTTAGTTAATTTAGTATGTCTCACGATAGTTTTTATAAAAACATAGCAAACTGGAGTAGTAATTCTTTGCGAGTTTGTGTTTCCCTAAGTTTGGAGTCTGTGTTCCCCAAAGGTTGTCTTCACGGCCTGCTGCAATGGGTTGCTTATGGGTAAGTGCTCCATCGTAGTT